ATAGTGTCTCACTCTGTTGCCCAGGTTGGAGTGCAGTGGTGCGATCATGGCTTGCTGCGGCCTTGAATTCCTGGGCTCAAGTAATCCTCTCAGCCTCAGTCTCCTGAGTAGCTGGGACTACAGACATATACCACCATGCCCAGCTACTTTTTAAACTTTTTGTAGGGATGGGGTCTTGCTTTGTTGCCCAGGCTGGTCTTACACTCCTGGTTTCAAGTGACCCTCCCACCTTGACCTCCCAAAGTGCTGGGATGACAGGGTGTTAGCCACTGCTCCTGGTCTTATACCGCATCCTTTTAACAGGCATGGTTCATCTTCAGTCCAACAGCTCCTCTTTCAAATTGGCCTGCACTGACACGGCAGATGCCAATAATGCAGATACTTCTTTAGGTTTATTATGTAAAAGAATGCAAAGGAAAGTTAAGTATGTTTTTCTCACTAACTTCTAAGAATCTCTTCTGAAATTGTGATAATTTATACCAAACAGTGCAGCAGTTATGCCAAATGAATGTTTTCCGTGAGGTCTAAGATGTTCACCATTGGGGAGTGAGAGGCAGGTTGGCTCAGTCTGAAAGTCCAGTTTGTGTCTGAATACACTTTCTTTGTGTAAGCCAGTAATGTTCCTGCTTCTCCCCCTGCAGTCTCAAGCTTTGTGCACCCAGATACCTTGTTACATCAGTAAGAAAAAATACAACTTTGAAACCAATTTGGGCTTCTTTCAGTGTAAATTACAAAAAGTCTTTGCTACAAAATGCCCTTGATCAAAAGAAGGTCAGTAAATATACTTGGCAATGATCTAACCACTGACCAGACTGAAATAAACAAAATCTCTACACACTGCTGTAGCTTTTTCCAAATATTCCACTAACTAGTTCTAGTAAAGGGTATAACTTCTGTGGGAAATTCACAATTGTGCAAACTTTCTGCAGAAATGACAGTGAATAGATATTACTTAAGATAAATTACACTAAAGAGAAGACCCAATTCCTTATCTTCCTGAGCACATTTCTAAAGTATGTTTCCCAGCTCTCACATCCAGGTGGGCACATGACTAGCACTTGCCAAGGAATGTGAGATAAACCCATTTCCAAGCTTGACCCTGCCAAGATTCTCCATGTTCTCTCTTCTCTCATCTGCTGGCTGGGTACAAAAGATACAGTAGAAAATTCCAAGACCCTGGGAAATGGCAGTGTGACCTAGTGGAAGAGGCCTGGGTCCCTGAATGACAGTGTGGAAAAGACCTCCCTTATCTACCTGCATTGGACTGTGAGGTGAGCAAGAAGTAAACTTTTATTCTGTTAAGCCAATTCTAGAATTACATGTTATAACAGTCAGCCCTAATTAGTATATACACTATATACAAAAGCCAAACTAGCTATGAAAATCTGATAATTTGAACTGACCACATTTGGGGAAAGAAACAACTGTTAGATACCTGTGGCTGCATTTGGTGTGAAGCTGAAGCATAATGCAACAAACACTCTTAGATGGGCTTTTCCCAAACTGGTCCGCATCAAAACAGAACTCAATAGAATTGTGAATGAAAGTTCTGTGCCTAAATTCGTTTGAGAAATGCTGTTAAACAAAGTTAAAAAGGTTTCTTTGCTTTAGATCATCTCAGAGCTGTCAAAGTACTAATGCCAATTGTGGATCTGTGTAAAGAGACTAAAGAATGTAGCATTTCCCAAACTTATTTAGTTAATGAGTAATTTAACCAATAAATTTAAGATCTACTTCCCTCTCCCACCATGGCAACAAGAATAACAACCTCCCAGAGCAATGTTCTGTAGAACGCATTCTGGGAAATTTTGCTTTAGTTTCATTCACATCATATGGTGAATTATTCAACACCAAACAGTTCTAGGCACCCCAAAGAAAGAATTATTCCCTCATTAAGGGAAGGTTTTTCTTATAAAAAGACTGACATGTTCAAACACCATCAAAACCACCTAAGAGCTAGGCGCAGTGGCTCATGCCTGTAATCCTAGCACTTTGGGAGGTCAGGGCAGGTGGATCACGAGGTCAGGAGATCGAGACCACCCTGGCCAACATGGTGAAACCCTGTCTCTACTAAAAATACAAAAAAATTAGCTGGGTGTGGTGGTGCTCGCCTGTAGTCCCAGCTACTTGGGAGGCTCAGCTACTTGGGAGGCTGAAGCACGGGAACTGCTTGAACCCAGGAGGCAGAGATGGCAGTGAGCCAAGATCGTGACACTGTACTATAGCCTGGGATGACAGTGCGAGACTC